AAACCCCCCCCAAACAAAAACAAAACAAAAACAACAACAAACAAACCAAACCCCAACAACAAACAAACAAAAAACCCAAAATAAAGCCACAGTAGAGACGGGAAATTCCCTCCAACCCATTCCGATCGATGCGTTTCTGGCTGTGTGGGTGTTAGCACCAGGGGGCGCTGGCATCGGCAAGGGAGAGCATTCAAAACAGACAGATTCAAAACAAAAGCTTTTTGCGTGATCTCGTTTTCAGCTTTCAGACAAAACCACTGTTTAAGGTGCGTCCAACCTCTGCGATGGTACGAGATTAGTTTAATAAAGACAAAGCCAAAGAAAAAAATCCGACTGTTTACGTAGGATTTAAATTTAAGCTAACCCACAATAGTTGGATTATGTGCCTCCATTCTGAAACTGTCTGGGTAGGGGTACCTTAACTTTTCCTATGCCACCGACCGATAATTGAATGCCTTTCTCCTCACAGTTTGAATAATAATGTGTGTTGATAACTCGCGGTACCTAAAGAGTTAAAACAAACTTTTACAATGTTTCACAGCTTTGACCCTGCAATTCTTATAACGCAAACACCCCTGTCAATTAACCTCATTTATGGGTTTTACAGTTTTTCGTTCCTTCTGTCTATACCATCCAACTTCATCTCTGGTATGACGTGCGTTTCAGTGGAGACTTGACTTTTTAAAAATATATGTGATTTTACACCCCCATCGACATTGATTTAAATCATTTAGGAGTCAAGCTTCCTACCCTGCCTGTCAAGGGCAACCCTTGCTGAGATTGATACCACATTTCTAGCAGAAGGATTCAAGATACTCTCTTTAAAAAATTCTCCCCACTCGGAAATCGATCTCGGGTCTTCTGCATGCTACAGCCAAGAGCCAGACCGCAACACAAGGCCGATACAGAGACTTATGACTCGTCCATGAACGTAACGCGTTAACGTTACTAACCTTACACGACAAGACACTGTCCGTGAATAATCGTGTAGCATCGTTCTGTTCGTCAAAAAAACCAAATCGAGGAAAACGGCTTTTTTCGCATGTTGGGCAATTTTTACCGAACTCCCCCCCCCCCCTCCCCATGGAGAACCAGAGAGTTAAACTGGAATTTCTTGGTATATAAATTCCAATCTACAGGCAACCTCAAACTAAGTCTAGACCTATTTTTTTCTTTCTTCATTTCTCCTTTTACTGTGTCTATCGTTATACGTCAGAAAATTGACTTCGTTGAATTACCCTACATAGCCTTGACCGTCCAATTAATCCCCAAACACAAAGGTCTTTCTATGAAACGTCCGTGTCAGTGCTTAATAAAAGAATAAATTTGCCCTAAATATTGCAAAGTAGGCTCTGGAAGTAAAAAAAAAAAGGAAGAAAGAAGAGAAAGGATGTAACAGCTGAGTGTGCAGGACATGCGTAACACGAGGAAATCTTCTCAGCTATACGCGACCAGGGAACCAGGACAATACATAATATTAATTTCTGTAGATGAGACATTTTTGCCTCTGTTTCCTTTGACAGACATCAGGTGCTTTTCTTTTCTATAGCTTCTTGACCCAAGCTGGACATATTGTGGGCTGGCGCAAAGTGAAGGAAGCCCGGATGAAACGGACGATGGAGTTGAAGAACAAATCGCCTGAGCTAAATATGGCACCATTTACGGGGGAAGGATGTTGGGTAAAATTAGAAGACAACTAAAAGCCAATAAAAGACTGGCATCTGTCTGGGATTTTTAATTTTTTTCTTTTTGGATATAAGGATCGAAGCCCAGCCAGAGATGGAGTAATGACTGTACACATATGTATACACATATGTAAACACATTATATATGTATGACGTCGTAGAAAAGAAAGATCTATCACTTCTCACTTCACTAAAAAAAAGATTGCCCTTAGCACGTACAGCTCTCTTGAGAAATCAGATTGTTTAAAAAAAAATGGAACTACAAGTTCATCAGACTTTTTCAGAATTTTTTTTTCGGTTACAGCGTATGGATTCTACTGACAAGCAGTTATTAACAAAGAGGTTTGATAGCGGAATGAAAAATATGAAATGCAGAAATCATCTGTGAAACGCTGACGTGAAAAATATAAACAGAAAAATGATCTATCAATCTATCTATCTATCTATCTATCTATCTATCTATCTATCTATCTATCTATCTATC